AATAAGATTGGGTCAAAAAGAGCTACTACCCAAAAGCAAGACAAACAGATTTTGGGGCTGGCAAAAAAAAACAAAGATATTATAGCTCCAAAAATCTACCAGGAGCTGCTAAAGAAGAACATAGATATTTACGTGCATACTATTCAATAGCATCTTGGTGAAGGTGGGCCTGCTACTACAGAAAACTCTTAAAACCTTAGATCAAAGAGAAGCATTGAAAAAAATACCTCTTGTAGATAAAGAAGCATAAAGATTTTGACTAGAATTTAGTGATATTTACAGACGAAAGTACTTTTTATTTGAATCAACAGCTAAAAAAGTCTTGACAGTTCTCTGAGAAAAGAAAAATAACATGTTCCATCAAGTACCCGTTGAAGGTTTACGTATAGGATTGTTTTTCTTCTTTGGGCTTTGGCATGTTGGTCTGCTTTACACGTAACCTTAATATACAATATATGATCACCCTGTATGAATAGACCTTTTGCCTTCTGCTGAGGTTCTTTTTGATAGATGTTGTAATAATTAGATTTTGTAAGAGGATAATGACCTGAAGCACTATTCAAAAATCGCAAAAGTATAGAAAGAAGAAAATAACGTTAAAGTTCTTCCTTGGCTGTCGATGTCACCTAACCAAAACCTGATCAATAATGTCTGGGGTTATGAAAATAAACTTGGTAAAAAAAAAATTAGAACCCTTAAAAGTTTAAAGGGTAAAATAACAAAAAAATGAAACTCCTTACCTAAGGAGTATGCAGCTAAATTAGTTAATAGTATGAAAAGTCATATTGAAACTCTAATCGAAGCTGAGAGTGATTATACAATATATTAATAATCATGTATTATTATGTAGTTTTTAATAAAAAAAAAAATTTACTTACTATACATCCTTGCTAATTTAGGGGTGCAGAAAAACTTTTGTCAGGTACTGTATATCCCATTTTAAAGACTTTTTATCTTGTTATTTTAATTTTTTTGAAAATATTGCAGAATTTGTATGGGTTGTTCTACAAGCACCAACACCTTTACTTTATAAATAATGAAATAATGGTATTGAAGTAAAGTAATTATCTATATAAATTGTAAATGTATTTGTTGCAAATGAAAGTTGATATACTAGATAACAAACATGATAACCTATTTCATTAATGCTCTGAATATGAGGTAAATAAATTGGTTTCTCAATACGTAATAAAAAGAAAATGTTCATGTATACTCTGAATCACACAAAGCTAAAATTTTATAACCTTCAGGAATAGGTTTAAGCTTTATTCACACAGTATGCATACTTTTTCCTGAAAAAAGAACAATTATCTCATCAAGAGACAAATTTAAAACAGGTACATATAATCTTTTGCATGCATTCCAATAGCTGAAACAAGTAATTCAACTTTGAAATACTATTTTGGATAAGACCTGAGATGGTTTGATATATGCAAGTAATGTTTTATTTGCTCAAATTGTTTTAATATCATTAAGTTTGCAATATGATGTTTTGGTTGTTGATTATTTTTGTTTCAGAGAAATTCATGTGATGAAATTCTATGAGTACTCAAATATATAATAATTGCAAGCCAAATTTTAAATTTATTAAAACTAAGAGCATTTCATAGCTGTCCCAAACCTGATAAATTTGGATTGTATTATACTTATTAGTTGATTCAACTATTTGTTTCAAAGAATTAGTTGAAAAGAACTTATAAAATAATATTAAAGGTGTAATAGTTCCAATTAAATAAAAACGTCTAGGAAGATTTAAGTATCCTTTTTCACAAAGTAGATAATTATATTGTAAGGGTATAAAATTTAATGGCCCAGGCGAATTTACTTGTTGTCTAACTTCTGTTGTAAAAATATCACTATAACTGCTTTCAGATCTACGTAACCTTTTTCTTCTTTGTTTTCAACCTTTAACAGATGAGCCATTTTGAGAATTTGATATTTTTTCTTCAATATACAACAAATTGTTATCATTAGCTAGAGCTAAATTGTCAACATCCACC